GGCACTTGGAGCAGGGTGTGGGCCTGGGTAGATCGGAATCACCTGGGCTGAGACTGGGCTTTTAAGGGCGGCATCACGGGGACGCCAGTAGAAACCGAAAGAGAAGCCGAGAACGAACGGAAGAGCAGCAGAAGCCGAGAGAGAAGCAGAGAAGGCCGGAGAGCCCAGATAGAGTGGAGACTTGCTGGGGGCTGGGAGGCCTGCCAGCCTCCCTGCCCCCCAGCACCTCTGCCTGCTGTGTACAGGGTAAATCCCAATAAAAGACCTGCAAAAACCACTGAGGACTTGACTCCTCCTTTACCCGGTCTGCTGGATCATAGAAAACCTGCTCAGTGCTCATTCCTAACATTACACTATCCCTACAGTCCTCTAACAACACTAACCCCATGGGGCTCCTGCGAGGAGTCTATGAGATCATACATGAGATAGACACATCTAGAAATGCCCCTTTCCTTGTGTGGCATGGTCTGAGAGGGCTGCAGTGGCCTCCACTCAGCAGGGCACTCACTCAATCTAACCTGATGGCTCCTGCCCCCTGCAGGCCAGCCCTGAGCACAACACCCACTTGTCGACCTTGGAATAGGCTTCTGTCCTTGGAAACAGGAGCCAGGAGACAACAAAATCAGGCCTGCGTGGAAAAGGCACGAACTTTGAAGAAATCCCATCTTTCTCTAATGAGGAGGGTGCTGGCGCTAGCTTGCACCTTAAGGACATCTGGGAATTTAGGGATTCCTACTCAGAATTTGCTCAAGCTGTTTTGGGCTGGACAGGTGGGTGGAGTGGTGGTGGTCCTAAGTGAAGGGAGGAACTGGTGATCTTGAGGGGCAGATGGCTTGACCTTCAGCAGAAATTTTTTCAAAGATGCACTGGTGGAGGCTTCTCTAAGGAGCAAAGCCTACTGCCCCATCCCTATTCATGGCGGCAGCAGCTCCTGGCCTCAGCAGCTCCTGGCCTCAGGAAGTTCCACTTTGAGTTCTGGAATGGAATAATAGGATCAAAGGGATAAGAAGGATAAACCCGTTACTGATTATTCCTGATTAGAAGGGAGGTTGGCCTTCAGCCCTGATCAGTTCTATCGCCAGTATTTGAACTTGGATGACAGCCCACTGCTGAGACACTTGGGGAAAGCTGGGTCGTAATATGAGAGGTGCTTTGTAGAAGCTTCTGACAAATAGGAAACACTCAGAGAACTTCCCAGCAAGCATCATGGTGTGGTTCAGGCAGGCAGTTTGGAGGCACCCAGACCCCAGAACGGTCTTGCCCTTTACTTATTGTGTCACCTTTGGGCAAACCCCTTCCCTCCCTCGAGTCTGGTTCCCCATCTCTAAAATGCGGGATAAGTCCAAACTTCACAGGTTGCTATGAAGATAATACAACGAAAAAGACACCTCATCAAATGTTCAGGGGGCTCCAGACAGAGGTCTTAAGTACCCTTGTTGCATCGCCAAAACGTAGAAGCCAACACAGGTATCCTAGGAGGGTTCTCATCAAACTGACAACTGAAGACAAGTCACTCCTATGCCCTATGGTTGATGTTAACCACAAACTGACCTTTTCTTTCCTCTTCACAGCCCCAGAGGAAATGCAAAGGGTGAGAGCAGAAGGGAGAGATTTGACTGGGTGAGTGTGGGCAACATACTCAGCTCTCATCCTAGGAATACAGGCCTTGATTGTGATTGAGTTTGTTAGCACCCAAACCACCACAGTCTCCCTCTCTCCCCTGGTCTCCCTCGCTCCCTGGTCTAAATTATAGGAACTAAGAAACCTCTGAAGTCCAGGAGCTGGAGATACCACTCATTCACTCATTGACTGAGAAAGGGTCTCAGTCCTGCGATCCTGCTAAGTGTAAAGCAGCTGGGAAGTGAAGTGGGCCATCCTACTCAGATGAAAAGAGACATCTTTCAAACTTGAAAAGGGGAAAGATGAGATAGTGCATTTTATTCGCATTTGCCTTCTCTACAAGGTGTTTCTTCCCAAGCTTAGGGTAAGGAGCAGAAAAACTGTTCTTAAAATAGTTTCCCAAGATCCAATGCCAAGAGATGGACCAAGGCATGCCTATTCTGAGTTAATATCCGACATCACTTCTCTCTAGGCAGCTGGGTGGCATGTCCTTATCTGGCCTCAAAGAGGAAACTGGGGAAGGTACTTTGTCATTCAGCTCCTTCCTTTAATTGCCTTTCTCACCTGGCTCAGAGGTAGCTTTCATACCCTCATTCAGATAATCACTCTATTAACAATAATAATAATGATGATGATGACGATGATGATGATGATGATGATGACCACGACAGAGGCAGTCCCTACCTAGCATCCACTCTGAGCCAGGCTGTTTGACATTCCTAATCTCCCGTAACCCTGTAATAGCTCTGTGAAATAGTTTCTGTCAATTAACTTTCTGGATGAAGCGACTCAGACCAGAGAGGGAAAATAACAGGCCCAAGGTCATGGAAATTGGAATTGACAGAGCTGGGAGGGGAACCTACAGCTCCGTCTCCAAGCCGCCATTCCAGGCCTTAGCATCAAAACCACGTCCTCTCCCTAGAGACAACAAGGATACTCCCTGAGGCCACTGGAAGAGTCCTAACACCTTCCCCCACCCACATAGGAGTCTAGCTTGGTACCTTCAGCAGCACTTTGAACCCGGGCTCTCCCTGACTCTATGGCAAGCGGAAAGAAGGTCTGACACACCCATCAGTAGTTGAGAGACCATAACAACAATAATAGCAATTAACATTGATAGAGTCCTCAGCTCGGGGCCACTCACTGGGCCAAGTCTGCTCTATCGCCATATTCCATTTAATCTCCCTATTTTGCACGCAAAGAAATAGAGGCTTAGTGAAATGAAACCATTCACTTAAGGTAAATAAATAAACTGGAGAGAAATGAAAAATGTATCTTCCCAGGGCTATATTTTGCCCTAAGCAGAATCTATCTGAAAGTTTCTGTATTCACAACTTCCTCTCCCTTCTCTGGGTCTCAACCCTCTTTCTAAGGACAGAATTCTCCATTCAAAGAGAAAGGGAAGGAAGGACTAAATCCTCTCTGTCACAGGAAACTGAAGACTTAGGCCCAGAAGTCTCAGGCTGGGTTGTGTTTCTGCTGCTGGTGGTATTTGGGCAGAGGCTTAAGGCCTGTCAGCAGGAAGCCCAAACTGACTCTGCTCAGCTTGAAAGAAAAAGTCTGCAGCTCCAGAGAAAAGAGCTTCCAGAGGGAGGTAGTAAATATTTGATGGGGACCTCCAGTTCTTTCTGACTCAGGTGACCCTGGTGACATTTCAGAACACTGGGCTGGAGAATATTCTTCATTTAATGACTGAGAAAGTTGAGAGTAAGAAAAGCAAGTGGCTAAAACGCTCTGAGCTAAGAAAGGGTCCAGGCAGGCAAATTGTGCAAGACTGGAAAAACGGCTTTTTTTCTACGAGCAAAGTCAGACCGCCAGCAGACTAAATAACCAGAAAGTGAGTGATTCCGGGCCAAGTCTCTGCCCTTCCAAACTGCTAGATTGTAAGCTCCCAAGCAGCCAGAACCTCCGTTACCTGGTTCACTGTTGTCTCTCTGGCACCTAGCAAAACATTTCATAAATGGAGGCGTGGGTGTCACCAATTCAAAGGCATTCAGTTTGCAACCCAGACCCATTCCACAGGCCACTCCCACCCTAACACCCGACACCTCCTCAGCAATTCATAAGCCACTGCGGTGAGGCTCTCCTTAACATGTCACTGCACTGACTCTCGCAGCTCTGGATCTAAACCCTCTACTCGGGAGAACTGCTTCCAACTAACTCGACTAACGAGGGCTCCCCGGAGGAACAAAGTTACACACTGCTGCCCTATCACCCCACCACAGCAGCCCAGTGCAACCTGAATTCATGTGCAGCTGCCTTCATGTCAGACCTCCACTGGCATCAGCCACTGCAGAGTAGTATTTTGAAAAGGACTGTGCAGATCTGAAGCAAAACACACCGGGCCTCCTTGGAATGTGGATGCAAGACCAGCCAGGAGCTTGAAACAGCTTCTTTATGCTACATCCCAGCCCAGAAGCACTCAGGCCTCCCTCTCCCCGACACACCACACGAACACGCTGAGCAGACCTCTGCATTACACGCGCCTTGGCTGCCGCAGAACCGGCTCACTGCTGTGCCAATGAGTTTGACTTAATTATGGACTCAGACTAGAGGAAACCGGACTTCGTTTTGGAGTTCACAGGTTCCTGTCTGCTGAGCCATTCTTTCCAGAAGAATGCTCCCAAAACGTAGGTCTGGACTATGACTACAGGGCATTTTTTTAAGGGCAGATGCCCAGCATCCTGGGGCCCTTGAGAGAAAGGCCTAGAGGAAACATAAGGAGCCCGTGGTGACCCTGAGTCACCAACTGACCTTAGAACACACACCAACTCAGGCTGGGGTCTCTGGGTGTCTTACCTGACAACTGCCGTCCTGTGACACCCCTGGAGCCACAGCCTTCTTCAAACACACTAAAGTTCTAGCCTGAGCAGCCACAGCTCTGTACAGCACTTCTTGCCTGTCCAGACACTTCTCTTTTCTCATACTGTTGAGTCTCTAACTTTCCCACGTCTTTGGGGCCGCTGAAGGTCGTGGCTAGGGTCCCTCATCCCCAAACAAATCTGTGAGCTCCCAGAACGCCAAGCAACCCCCAGACTCCAAACTCCCTGCTCTTTCAGGCCCTTCACTGGCGGTTCTGGCCACAAGCCAGGGGGGTGGGGGTCGCGGCACTGCGCGGAGCGCCCCTCCCTGACCCCTGCCGGTCGCCTGGCAGCCCGTGGAGGTCGCGGGCTTCGGGACGGCGCGCCCCGGCGGGTGGAGGGACGCGGGCGGCGCGCCTCCCCGCGGGGCCCGGCGCGGACAGCGCCCGGGGTGCTGAATCAGGCGGCGGGCGCGGCGCGGGCCGGCTCGGGCTGGGGGGTCGCGGCCGCGGGAGGCGGGTGCGGGCGCGCAGCCGCGGCAGGGTCCCGCGCGCTTTTCCCGGGAGGCGCGGCCCTTACCTGGCCGAAGGCGGAGCTGAGCATGGGGCGCAGCTGGCGGAGGAACGGGTCTGTCTCGGACGCGGCGGCCGGAGGGGAGTCCCCGCGCCCCGGGGCTCGCAGCGCGCCCCGGAGCCCGAGCGCCGGGGACAGCCCCCGTTCCTCCCCGTCCCCCCGCGGGCTGGCGGCCGCGGCGGCGTTGGCGAAGGTCGGGACGCCGCGGCCGGCAGCGCCTCCCGGGGCCTGCAGTGCGCCTGGGGGAGCCCGCGCCGGCTCCCCCGCGCGCCCTCCTCCCGCGGCGCCGGCCGGCACAGGGGCCTCCGCGAACTGGGGTCCCCGGCCGGCGTCGGCGTGCCCGGGCAGGGGCCGGCCAGCCGGCGGCCGGGCAGCCCCGGGTCCCGGGCCGCGCCGTGGCGGGGCACCCGGCTGCCCCCGCTCGCCGCCGCCTTCAGCAGCGACGTCTTGGACTCGCTCTTGGCGATGTGCGAGCTCATCGCGGCGGGGCCCGCGCTCGCATGGCCCGGCGGGGGTGGCGCGGTGCGGCGCGGCGCCGGGCCCCCGGCGGGCAGGGAGCGGGGCGCCCGGCGGGAGCCAACCCCGAGGACGCGCTGGAGGCGGGCACCGTCCCCCGGCCGCTTAAATGCGGCCCCGTCGCCGCCGCCCATGTGACAGCGCAGCCTCTCCGCCCGGAGCCCCGAGCTCCCCGCGGCCGGCGGTGCGGATCTGGGGGGGCCGCCGGCTGTCCCCGGAGAGCCCACCCCGGCTCCCCGGCGGGCCAGGTACCGCGCGCCCCGCCCCTCGCCCCGCCCCGCCCCGCGCGCGAGGAGCCCCGCTTCCGGGCGCCCCGGCGGCGCTGCGGCGCGGCCCCGCCGCACAGGAGGGGCCCGGGAGGGCGCCGGAGACGCCCGGGCCGTGGTCGCGCCCGCGGCGCCCCCTTCTCGCGCCTGGGCGGGAGCGACAGTGGCCCCGAACCGCGGAGCCTCCAGAAATGCAGGCGGGATGCGCTCCCCAGGGGGTACAACTTTGGCGCTGAGAAGAAGATGCAGTGGGCTGGAGACCCAAGCAGGGTGAAGCACTCTGCGGGAGACAAACACAGGAGCCAGAAGGGCACGGAGGAAGAGAAAGCCCCCTGGGTGGGGGTGAGAGGGTGTGCTTTAGGCGCTCCCAATACCACGGAGTGGACCAGGGTGACCCTGAAGTCAGCCAGAGAATTGTCAGTCCTCAGAACAGAAGTCAGGTGACGAGTGTATGACTAGGGCTTTGCAGGGCCTCTGATGATCAAGTCTCAGGTAGGAGCCAGTGGCTGCCCCTCCAGGTCTTGTCACCCTCTCACCTTCATGCCCTTCTAGATGTTAAAGACATGCCTGCTTTGGGTAGGCAGCCAGGGACTCACACAGGCCGGGTTGGAATCTCCAACCCAGCTCTTACCCACTTACCATCTGGGTAATTTGGGCAAACGGCACTGACCTCTCAGAACCTTGTTTTTCTCTTCTGTGAAATAACTTTTTGGTCACATCAGATGACACCATGCACATAAAAGGCCCAGCCCAGAGCTTGGGACGGGACAAGCGGTTAAGCTGGTACCTCTCTCTGCACCATAGGAGGCTTCAGCCACTACTCTTGTTTAGTGGGATACTTGAGGTTTGAAAGGGAGTGGCCGTGTGAAGCTCGGCCTGGCTCTTCCTGTCTGGGCTGTGGCCCGGATGCTGTGCTAGCCTGAGGCTAGTGCAAGTCACTGCTAAGCTTCCGTAGAAGGATAGATGGACAGAACGCCAATATGCTGCGTACAATTCACTTGTGCCAGGGGCTCACCCTTCTCACAACTGCCTGCTTCTTTTACATACGCATATGCAAGGAACCAAGAAAAACAGGACAGGTGGAGAAAGCAATGCAGAGAGACCAAGTGAACAAGAGGGTTGGAGGCAATCTGCCCTAGCTCACCTGCAGAAAGGGACTGAAAGCCGCTCAGGGCCCTGTAGTTCAAGTACTGCACCAAGCAGCAGCCCGCAAGCCTCCAGCTTGTCTGCTGGGATGTGGGGGTATAAAGAGCCCACCCTCCCCGATTTTGGGGTCAGTCACTCCTCACCTGTTGCAGCCCTCAGAATAATCAGTGCTCAGCAGGATTAACGATGAATGTGCATCTGTAGAAGCCACAGGAGAGAAGGTACTTTATCAGACTCCCTCAGGGAATGATGAGAGGCAGCGGGCTGGAGAGCAGTCTACATCCCCGCTGTCACTCGTGGTTATCTTCCTGAAATTTCCTAAAAATTCTGAGCAAGACCTCAGTCACCAACTAGTGTCTGAAAAAGTGAAGGAGAACCTGGTTCATCACCTGTATGAATAGAAGAAATAAATAAAAATTATGTTCATGGAAGAAATGGTTGAAATACTTGCACTTAGACCTGGGATAATCCTGCATTCTGTTTCATATGTAGAAATTCATTTATAATGGTTATTCATGGATATTTCTAGAATAAGGCAGTATGTTAGACTCCTGTGATGCAGAGATCCATTCATTCCACAAATACTCAAATGCCTGTAATTTGCAAGGCATGGGTTTAGGTACCAGGGGCATGGTAATAAACAAAACAAAGTCTCTATCCTCAGCAGCAAATAGAGAACTAATAAATGCATGGAACATTAATGTTGACAAATTGGTGGCATTTCATGCATGAAGAGAAATAAAGCTGGTAAGAGAGCAGGGCTTCAAGGAGGCTGTTGTTTTAGTAAGTGGTTCAAGAAGGATCTCAGAAGGGGATTTTTGAGCAGAGGCCACAATGAAGTAAGGGAACATATACCCAGGGGAAGCACTTTCCTGGCAGAGGGTTATGAAGTTCTGAGGAAGGAACAGGTTGGCATATTAAGGGAGATGCAAGGAGGTAAGTGGGGCTGGAGCACGCAGGGGAGGGTAGGAGAGAAGGTTTCAGAGAGGAATACAGGGCCCAGAAATCAAGGACTTTTGGGGTTTTCCTAAGTGTGAAGGGAAGCCCTGGGAGGAGGGTGGGGGCTGATCCTTGACAGCTTGCAGCAAGTGAGCTGCTGTGGCAAAAAGCAGGCTTGGCCTCGATAGTGCCAGAGGTCAGATGCAGGAGATATCTAAACAATTGCATTAAGATTCAGCCCCTGCTCTCAAGGAATTCACCAAAAAAAAGAAAAAGAAAAAGGAGGGCCTCCCTGCTGGTGCAAGGTGTTAAGACGCAAACAATGAAGCTGTCTGCAGTCACTGCAGCACGAGTTCGATCCCTGGCCAGTCAGGGAGCTACCCACATGGCGCAGCAGACCTCTCCTGTCTCGCCTGCTGCTCCCCTCAGCCGTGTATTTCAGTAGATCTGCCTGTTCTGTTCCCTACTCTGTCTCTGGTGAATCCTCTCACCCCCGCCCCCATCTCTGGTCTGTATGCCAGCTCTTGTATGCATAAATAAATAAATCTTTTTTAAAAAAAGGAAAAAAAAGAAAAAGGATAAAACCTAATATAATATAATAAGAAACAATCAATGAGGGAATGACAAGCTAGGTTATAAGGAAGCAGAACCTTTAGGGGCATTGGAAAAGCCATTAGAGGTGATATTTCAGCTGTGTTTTGAAGAAGTGAACTTCCAAGTATAAGGAAGGTCATTCCAGGCAGACCAAACGGAGGCTTAGGAGTGTGACCCCAAATAGTCTGTTTAGGAATCATTTAGTGGTTTAAGGAGGAGGAGGAATAAGGGCAGGGAGACAGGCCTGGTCAGATTGTGAAGGATCTTCATGGTGAATTTGGAGAGTTTGTCCTTTAACAAACCATTGTCTTTCAATAGGCAATAGAGAGTTGGGAAGGTTTGGTGAGTATGAACAGGACATAAGCAGAACTGTGTTTCTGAAAATAATGCTGATGCACTGTGTGGAGGAGACTAGAAGGACACAGAAGGCAAGGCTCATGCATTACATAGCGCTGATTGTACGCCCATTGTGTGGTAGGCATTCGGAACAGAGCAGTAAATTAATGGACATCATGCCTTGTGTTAAGGAGTTGAAGTCTGGTGGAGAGGTAATAAAGACTAAATGTAGCGGCTGAGTCAGCTTCAGGAAATATTTCAGAAATACCATCATCAAGACAGGGAAAGTTCTGGATGTGGAAAATGAGCATGGCCTGCCTCTCTGCTGTGAGATATAATTGGAATATAGTTACTGCAAAGTATCCCGTAACACAGAAATGACTTTAAAATAATCCTTTTGGGTTGCTTATATCTTTACAGTTTGAAATGCATCTTTACGTAAAGCCTTTCACTTGCCTTTATGGGTTATACAAATTGTAGTTATTAAATAATAAAATGGTGTTACATTATTTGGCTATATTATTTGTTATATTATAACCTTTGGTGGAAGTTGTGCAACAGAAGAGCTGTTCTGGAGCACTGGAAAGACATTGCAGTACAGTTAGAGAGGGCAGTCAGAGAGGATGGGTCTGGGACCCGGACGCTGATGCAGAGAACAGTGTGGGTAGCTGTCTTTATGTCTCATTTCTAAGAGAAACCATTCAGGAGTAAGACAGGGATAAAGACAAAATCCTTAAAATGGACATGGTCTCTCGTTTATCATATTTCAGTTTGATAATGTCATGTCCAGTAACAAACTCCTCTAAAAACTGTTCTTCCCTGTCCAAGACTATATCAGGTCTAGAGGGTTGGAAAGAGTCATGGAGCATTTGCATGGTGGCACTTGAATTAATTCTCTGTGACATTGCTTGTCTAGTTCATTCCTTTCTGCCGTTGTCAGAATCAAATCCCGTACTTAATCTTCCCCTTGTTTTCAGATGACAAAATCTCTCTGTTAGTCAGAAAGCTGGGATTACAAACTGTTCTTATGGCTTTAAGTCCTCTGTGGTGATTGGGGATCTCGGGAAAGGATTGGATGAGAATTTGGGGGAAGGATGACTAGGTAATCAATGGACTGAATAGGAGATTCCTTTCCAGAAATCTGTCTTTGGACCCAAATGCTCATCATTTAAGAGGATTCCAAGATTTTTAAAATAAAATGAAAAGGGATATATAGGGTTGGGAGATATAGGGGGGGAAGGTGACAGGGTATTGGCACTGGAGCTTTGGTAGAGGGTGAGTGAAGCATGTGCACATTATGGAGGTGTGAAGTTGTATTCCCAAAATTATACAGTTATGTAAATGATTGACAAATTGGTAAAATTTAAGGAAAAAATTTAAAAATATATGCATGTGTCAAAACTGAACTGTACACACCCAAGACTATATATCTCACTGTGTATAAATTTAACTCAACAAAAAGAAAATTCAGTAAGGCAGGATAGAGCAAAAAGAATTAATAATGACAAGTAGAACCAACTAGTAGTGCATGGTCTTAAGGAAACGAATTATGATTTTCAAAATAGTGGTGACAGCTCAGTGCATAAGAGGTTCTGACAGTGAGACCAAGGTTGTCACGAACTGATTCCCATTTAGGCCATTAGGTAGCCATGGTTTTGAGGGTACAGTTTGTAGCCCTCATCCAAGCCAGCAAGTTCTATTTTTATTTGTTTTCTGGTTTTAAGGGCAAAGGAGAGAAAAAGCATAGAGGAGAGAAATGCTCTGTAGAGTTGACTGGCCAGAAATCACCATCTTCTTCAAGAATACCAATTCTGGGGGCTTCCCGGGTGGCGCAGCGGGTTGAGTACAGCGCT